AAGAACTAAATAATAATTTTGCCAATGTAGTTAGATTAGGAGTGTCAAGCTCATGCCCCGTGAGCCAGATGCATCACACGCTGACCATGCCCACCCCCAGTTTAGCAAAGGGGAAAAAAATTGTGATACATCACATGACAACGTGTCATCGCGAGTTTGACACCTCTGGTGTAGATTGTTTGTACAGTCTATAGTCCACCTCAGCCTTCCTCAGTCCAGATGTGTTGGGCAGTGGCTCTCAGAATTCCCATTATATGTCCCAGACCTTCTCTACTTAACAAGAAGACCCAACAAGGTAGCTTAAGAAAAAAAATAATTACTTTGATTACCATAAACGGACTATAACTCATTACCATAATTTTAAAAAAAATCACATCAAATCAGGCAAGTTACATTATGAAGATGTTTACTCTGCAGACTATAAATGAAAAGAATTGCCCCTGGAAGGTAAGAAAAAAAAATCCACTTTTAAAATTAAGAATTGTCTTATTGGAATTAAAACATTTTATAAATGCAATGGAAGCTTCAAATAATTATACCATCCCCAGAAAAATTAAAATGCTAATTACTGAATAGCAGCATTGTAGCTCATAATTTTTTAAAAAATGTTTCTTCTAGTCCACTAGAAAAAATATCAGCACAATTTTTACATATGTAGTGTTATTATTTTATGTAACAGAGAGAGAGAGAGAGATGGAGACAATGATGAGACACTATTTTTCCCTAGATGTAAGTGTTCATTTTAACTCAGCAATTTTCCAGAGCCAAAGTTTGAAGAGATGTGGGTGATAAATGGAAACATCTGCTGTAACTTAAAAAATAAGTAAATATTATTTTGCTTTTTTTAAAAAAAAGTGCACTAAAACATTTTCAATTGATATTTGACTCAGAAACAATCCAGTCTGAGACATTGGATTGCATTCTTCTACATATTGAAAGGAAATAGTATACACTTCAAAAACTGATATTGGCAATACTTACAACTAGTAGCAAAAGCAAGCATGCATACCTGGAACAGGACTGTCATATAAACAATGTGTATATAAACACATTCAGAGTTGTTTGATTCAGAAAGCAGCAGAGAGAATTTTGCTTTCCCTTTTAACAGAAAGCTAGAAATGCCAATGGTATTTTTCTCACTTATGTCACAAAAATAGTATTCACCCAGAATATCTCCAATGAGTGCTTTTCTTGCTGAATTTCTTATGCATTCAAGTACTGGATACAATGGAATTACAATTATTTAGCAAGCTATAAATAATGTAACTGTCGTGCACAATTGATATTTTAGCATGTCTTACCAGTACTGTAAAAGACTCATTTATAGATCAGCAAATCATTTCTACAAGCAAGTTCAGCTGTGAAATACCAAAGGAAGCCTATGCTGTTTACTGCTAAATTGGGTTTTCCCTCATTGTCTTTGAACAGCTCTAAGGGATGTGCTAGAGAGAAACAGAGTCTTTAGAATCTTTATATATAAAATGAAAGCAAACTTTTGAAGTCCAAGATTCTGAGAGTCTTAAAACACTATGAACAATACAAGTTATGTACCCTATGTACTCTGCCTTACTTCCGTTTTGGGAAGATGCTTAAGGACAGTGCGGTTCCTGGGTGAATAATGTTTTTTTACCACTGTTAATCTTCACTGTTAACTACTGGGCCATATGGATAAATATGGAAGAGGAAGTTAGGTTGGGAGGGAGGGAAGTAAGGTAGATCAACTTGTTGGAAAAGCTCAAATAAGATACTGTGGAGGCAACAGCAAGTTACAGTAGGACAAAGCTAACTGTTCATAAACATTGATCCAACGACTTGAGTTATCAATCATGAGTTCATTGAACCAAATAGCTCCCCACTGCTATACTAAGGCTCTTAGACCCAAGTGAATCCTATTCCACTGCTGAAAACTTCATCAGGGGGGCTATGGCTAAAACATGCCCTCCTCCCACACATCTTTCTTATCTTTTTTTTTTTTTGCTTGGCCAAAGTCAGGCAGGTTTCTGGAGGAGAAAAGAGCAAAGGGGGGGAAAAAAAGACAGTTCAGCAATGATTGGACACCTGGCAAGATGCAGTGAAAAGGTCTGGGCCACTCTTGGAGCTGTACAGATAAAAGTAATCAAATGACACTCATGGAATGCAAACTGGCATTCTTGAAGTGCAGCAATTTCAGAATTCCTGAAACATCCCTGACAGCAAGCAAGATTAGAATAAAATATTACGTAAAAGTGGTGAATTTAAAAAAATGAAGCTCAAAGGTTTACCGTTTAATCATTGGGTTGGCAAAAATAAACCCTGTTTTAGTTTGGCTTCATATGACGGGCTAATCAGTCTGTCAAATATACACCCAGAACACGCTCTATAATATTTGAAAGAGAAGAAGCTACATATGTTCATACTACATTTCTTATAAATGGTAATGTTTCAACTAACTGTTTCTAAAATATTTGAAAGAGATCTTTATCGCATTTCAAGTGTGTGTAAAAGCCTATTAAAGCAGCTTATCTGGTAGTGTATTAATACTAAATGCTCACTCACAGTGTGTATGCAGACCTGTTGAAATGAATTCCTTTTAACATGCAGTTTGTAAAGTATTTTTTTTTTAATCATTTGAACTGGAAGCTTCATAAAACTGAAAAACCTTTGTATGTAGCTACCCTCATACATAGTTAGAACTGAACACTCAAGAGAATTTTTAAAAGAAACTGTAACATCAAGCAGAAGCTCTTACTTATATTTCAAACTAAAGTTTCTAGCATGCTGAAGGAAAGAGCAAACCTATTATAACAGTTAACAGTTACAATTCTATTTAGACCTATCTAGTGTAAGTATTATTCAAGTACATATATATCAATTTGTAATAGACTTATAACTTATGAGTTTGCTAAAGATTGGGTAAACAAACATTAAACTTTCTTTCTCATTTTAAATGTTAATTCACTTTTTAATAACAATTCCAGACCATAATGAAATAATATGTACAGCAAAAGACTTAAAAAGCACTGATCATACCAAAATAAATCCAAACCCATTCTTGTCTAAAGTTTTGTCTCCCACATAAGAGAAATGTATGTAAGATTTAAGGCAGGGACTGTAGTGTGTTCATCTGACTTTAAAGCTTCAAGCTGTTTCCACTATTAGTGAGGTATGAATATTCATCTAAATTTAAAACATTTTAATCCTTGAGTCTGCTTAGATTATTACATGATGTCTGTTGTGCATCAATTTACAACAGCTTGACTCTTAAGAGTAAACGGGAAGCATCATAAACTGCAGCCTGCTTTCAAACGCACTTTATGTTCCGCCAGTTTTATAATAATCCTAGTCTGAGCATAAGACCCTTTCTTTACCCATGTACGTGCCCTCTTTTCCTGCTTTTTTGCAAATTTCCCACCTTCCAACAGGGGCTTTAATCAGGGGGACAAAACATCACTATATGGAAGTGGGGAGGAGATGATTTTCACCACATACATTCTAGTTACACAGTGAGAACTAGAGCATGCCGTCCCAAAGTGAGACAGCCACACAGAAAATCATTCAAAGACTTTAAACATATTAGGCAGTGGTCCAGGAAGAATCTATCCACTTTGATTCCTATACTAAAGATTATTTCTTTTTTAAAAATTTGCTTCCCGATGAGCTGAGCTACTGGATTATTTTTTTAAACCATAAGCGTAAAAACATTTCTTTCCATTCCTTTAAATGGGATCAGTTGTTCCGTAGAAGTTACTCAACGCAGGCAAAAAAGAGTTTCAGCACGGGCTGTCCGATTTATTGGAACTCCCATAAAAACTTTCCGAAACAAAACAAAACAAAACAAAACGAGGTAAAAATTAAACATAAAACCAGCCATTTCACAACTGCTTATAAGAGTTCCGACGTTTCCCCGATTACTTATATACACCTTCCTCAACCGCATGTGCGATTCACACGCGTTTCTTTAATCCCAGCAGCCTTTATTTTTGAGCAATGCTGAGAATTGACAACACTTCAGGCAAGGCGGACAAGACTTGTATTTATTTATTTATTTATTTATTTAAAAAAAAATTCTCCCTAGAACTCCAGTCAGGTTTTAATAACAATTGCTGTCCTCGGAAATGCAAACTGTGAAAGTACAATGCTCCCCCACCCTCCCCAAAAAAGTTGCGACCGGACGGCATCCTTTTTGCCTTCTGGTCTAGGTAAGCCTGAGGCGCTGTGGATCGCCGACACGCCAAGCGCGCGCGCGCACACACACACACACACGCCCGCGCGCGTGCAGACAGACACCCCCATCCCCATCTCCTCCCCCCACCCCCAATGCCCGGTTCTGCTTTAGCCCGTCGGTTTGCAACCCAAGACCGCGCCTGTCATCTCTGACAGAAAAAGGGACCGCTTCTTTCCTTCCCTCCTTTCCCTAACGCGATCCCTTTATTATGCCTTAAGATAAAAGTAAAAAGAAAAGAAAACAACCCAGCCCAGCCCGCTCACTTCTTCTCTGATCTTCTTTCACCTTTGATGCGATTAGCAAAAAAAAAAACTTAAAGGGGTCAAAAAGAAAGGAGCCGAGCTCCCATCGAATTCTTTCCTTCCCAACCAGAAATGAGGAGGGAAGGAGGAGGAGCGGGACGAGAAGCGCTAGGAGAAGTTTGAAAGTTATGTCACTGTCCTGTATTCTCTCCCTCTCGCCGGCCCGCATGCTCGAGTCCCCCGCCGCCCGCCTCTCTCTCTCTCTCTCTCCTGTCCCCCCCGTCCCTCCTCCCAGGTCTTTGCACCGCAGGAATTTTTGCCGACTGCTTGTTTGTTTCAACGGTTTTAGAAAGACGCTTCCAGGCAAGGCTGTTTGTATTACGGCACATTGTGCGGGGGGGGGGGGGGGGGGGGGGAGGAAGAAAGAGAGAGAGGGAGAAAGAAAGAAAGAAAGAAAGAAAGAAAGAAAGAAAGAAAGAAAGAAAGAAAGAAAGAAAGAGAAAACTAGTTTTTTTTTTAAGGAAATAAAGAAAGGATGTTGGAAAACTTCTTACCATTTTTGCATGCTGCTTGTCAAGGGCACCCCCTGGGCTCTGGAACTCCTCTCAGCGGCAGCGCCTGCACCGGCCTTTCCTTCCTCCCTTCTTCTTTTTTTTTTTGTTTTGTTTTTTGTTTTCCCCTTCCTTCAGTTTTTCTTGGACTGCTCCCCACCCCACCCCCACCTCCTCCTCCAAACCGGCTCTCTCAACAGCCCTCCAGGTGATTTTCACACACACTCA